CGGCCGCGCCCCGGGGGCCTCCCCGGGGACCTACCGCCTCTCCCAGCCGGTGCTGGCCCGAGTCCCCAGCTCGAGTGGTTTGCAGGCCCGCAGACCCCCCGCCCGCAGTGAATGTTTTTCTACGTCCCCGTGGCTGGGGAGGAGGATACATTTAGCAATCCCTGCTGTCCTCTGCTTTCCCATAAAAAAAAAAGATAAAAATCTTTGAAATAAAATGAAAATGGACTTGCCAGTCTAAAGGGGTGTGTGGGCAAGAGAGGGTAAGGGGTTAACCTAGAACAACTACGCAAGCTGCTTTCAGTTTTTTTAATAAGCCTTCCATCTGAGGAGCTAATTGATTTTGTTAGTTTGAGAAGTAAACAAGGCAAATGTTGCATTTTGACAATGGTTTCCGCTCACGTTGCAAAGACGCGGAATCTTTACTACCTTTTGGCTATCTATGCATCTTTGGGTTTCAGTGTTTGGGAACCTCTACAATTTAAGTCCTGCATAATTGTTTCAAAAATAGGGGATCTTCCAAGTCCTTCCATGAATCTATAAGGTAGCCGAATTGCCTCTCTATCTGTTAAATTGCCTCAACAAGCCTTTCAGTTTAAAAAGAAGGGGGGCCAGGGGTCGGGGGAGAACAGGGAAATTTTTTAGTAAACAAACAGCATTTATCAACTCCAAAAAACGTGCATTTTGCTTTTTCATTGGTTTACATTTCTGTACGCTGTCCACACTGAGCTTGGGACACAAACTGTTGAAAAGTCTGAACTACTGAAAAGTTAGTGTGGTCTTATCCAGAATCTGACATGCTGTCTACGTCAAACCTAACCCATCACCCTGGAGGTCACCTCATAGTAACCCTATGGGGAACAGGAGAACAGCTCCATCGGGTTTCCAAGAGGGTACTTTTGGGGCGGCAGACTGCCTGGCCATTCTCCCCAAGAAGCCATGATGAACTACAACTGTCCACTTTTCCATTACCAGCTATGGTATTAACCACACGCGCGACGCCATCAGGGCCCCAATACATCTTTAGTATAGCACCAAATACCACAGACGTAATCCAGGATACACACATGATAAAGTAAATAACATACTGGTGTGAAATCTCTTTAAGATCAGAATACAGGAGTGCATACGTATTCTAGTTTACAATCATAACACTCCCAAACTCCCAGAATGCAAGCTGTTGCTTTCTCACAGGCATCTGGCAACCAGGCAAGACTTCTGAGAGAGGAAAAACAAAAGTTAACAGTAAGAAATCTCTGAGCACGCACTGCATAGTCATTGTCCTCTCAGGGCTTAAGCTTTGATGGCTTCTCAGGTGATTACATTTCATTTCAAAAACGACCCCTGACAACATGTCTATGGTTTCTAGAAAATTCTGCTAGACGGATACGGATTATTTCACAGAATGGTGCCTAAAATGAGGCAAGAGGTCTTCAAAGAAAAAATGAGAAATAGTTCAGGTGCCCACATTAATATCATGCCCAAAACAAAACGGATTACCTGTGCTTGCTTTCCAAAGACCTTCATGGAAGGCTATCGGCCGTCAAGAACTGGTCTCACACAGCCAGCCGCGTTCAGCACACAAACCTCCTGTCCACGCTCTCAGCTGTTACCCCACTGCTACCAAACACTTGGGAGTCCCACCAGTACAGCTCCTAAGGCGAGACTGGCAAAGGCGCATCAAGGGAACGGATATTTCTTCAGTTTAAGAGGTCAGAAGTAGTTGAGGCATTGGTATGCTCAAATAGCCCTTTGTCGTTATTTTTATACAGTGTTACTTGGGCAGGGAGCAAGGAAAAGATAGCCTTGTTCCATCGGTTACATTAGATAAGCCTTTATTAAAGTCCGAGAAAAGTTATTTTATAGATGATTAGATAGATGAAGTCAGCTATGTTTTTATGAGTTTATAAGAAAGAGAATGTAGTTTGTACTTCCAATCCACTTATGAAAGGCTATCAAAAAGAGTCTTTAATAATTTAAAAAAAATAGTCTATAATAAAAATCCGCTTTGGGGAGATAGGTACCAGTCCCTAGAAAAGAATGTCATGCTTGGTAAAGTAGGTCAGCAAAAAAGAGCAAGCAGGAGATGGATGGGCACAGTGGCTCAAACAGTTACAATGAGAATGACGCAGGACCAGGGAGTGTTTCATTCTGCGATACAAGGGGTCCTTGTGAAGAACAGTAACAAACCACCTAATAGGATAAGATACCCTGCCATCACGTCAATGCCAACTCACAGTGACCCCATAGGCAGGACAGAACTGCCCCTGGGAATTTCTGAGACTGTAACTCTTTTTTTTATTACTATTAGACGATCACTTTTTGGGGGGGCACTTACAACTCATAACAATCAATTGCATCAAGCATATTTGTGCATATGTTGCCATCATTTCTTCCTAAACATTTACTTTCTACTGAGCCCTTGGTATCAGCTCCTCTTTTTTCCCTCCCTCCCCCCACCCTCGTGACCCCTTGATAGATTATAAGTGATTATTATTTTCATATCTTACACCGATTACTGTCTCCTTTCCCCATGGCTTCTGTAGTTCAGCCCCCTGGAGGGTGTGGTTATGTGTCAATCCTTGCAATCAGTCCCCCCCCTTCCTCCCCTCCACTCCCCACCTTCCCCTACCCTTCTGGTATCGATACTCCCATTCCTGTTCCTGGATTCCGTGTGTTGTGACCTCTTATCTCTTATCTGTACCTGGGCACATGGCTCCAGTCTAGCCGCACTGAAAGGCAGAACTGGGGTCCTGATAGTGGGAGGTGAGGAAGCCTCAAGGAACCAGAGGAGTACTGTGTGTTTCATGGGTGCTATACTGCGCCCTGGTTGACTCATCCTTTCCTTGTGACCCTTCTGTGGGGGCATGTCCCATTGTCTACAGTTGAGTTTTGGGTCTCTGCTCCAGCCCTCCTCATTCTCAACAATATGGTTGTTGGTTTTGTTTTTTTTCATTTGTTTGTCTGTTTGGGGTCTTCTGATGCCTGTTACCCAGACCCGATGACACCTCTTGATCGCACCGGCTGGTGTGTTTCTTCCACGTGAGCTTATTGCTTCTCTGCTAGATGGCCACTTGTTTAAGCTTTTAAGGCCCCAGGCGCTCTATCTTTTCATAGCCGGCACAATCTGCTCTCTTCACCACAGCTGTTTATGCACCCATTTTGTCTTTAGCGATTGTGCCGGGAGGATGAGCATCACAGAACGCCAGGTTAGAACAAAGTGTTCTTGCACTGAGAGGGGGCATGAACAGAGGCTCAAAGTCCTCCCACTACCTCGAGATTGTAACTCTTTATGGGAGTATGAAGTCCAGTCCTTCTCCCCCAGGGCAGCTGGGGGTTTCAAAGCTACTGACCTTGCAGTTAGCAGCCCAACATATAACTACTACACCACCGGGGTTCCTTATAAGATAGTCATGATAAAGTGAAGACATACAACATAATAGCAGAGAGAAAAAAATCATCTAATGAGATAATAAAATACAAACTATAATTTCTGGAAATGGTTGCCTTGGCTTCCACCCGGCATCTTGCATCTAAAAGGACTTAATCCATACTATTTTGTATTTATCCTTTGATGACTATATTAGTATTAGAGGGTCTATAGCGTTCTGGGCTAGCAGAACCTAAAGAACATGGAGTGCTGGCCCAGGCGGGGGTGGGGGGGGGGTGTCCAAATAAGGAGACTGTATGAAACAGAATAAAAACTATCTAAAGAGCTTTCATTTTCTCACTGAAATCAACACATAATAATGGGGAATTTTTATTTAGGGAGATTGAGAGCAGAACATTTCAAAAGCGTATGTCTGCTATGCATACAAAATAGCTAGTTCCAAAGGAGTCAAAGGACTTCTGATTATGTGCTAAAATTTATTTGTTCCTTCAGAGCTGTTAATATATATCAGAGAGTTAAAAGCATCTATTCAAGGTCTTGACAGTATTTTATTAACAACTAAAATGCCCTGACATGTTTATAAGTCCTTGAGCCAGAAACAATACGAGGCCGTTCAATCCTTTTTTCCAGTGAAAAACTAGTCAGAAAGCACAGTTGTTGATTTTCACTTCACATCAGACTGATGGGAATCCAAATAGCAGACTACAAATTGTTCGTTTATGAGAAAACATAGACCTTCTTCGGTAAAATTGTGGAAATTCATAAAATTTTACACCCAAGACGTTGGAAATTATTTACCTTCCCCTAGAAAGGGCCCTTGGGGTCCTAGTGGCATAATGGTTAAAGCACTCAGCTGATAACCAAAGTCAGTGGTTTGAACCCAGCAACTGCTCCTGGGGAGAACTAAGTGGCAAACAAAGAACGTCCCAAAAGATTCTAAACCAAAGGTATTGAGTCAATTCTGATTCATGGTGACAGAGTAGAACCACTCCTGTGGGTTTCCAGGACTTTAAATCTTTATTGAAGCTAACTTTACAGAGCAGATGGTGGGTTTGAACCTTTGGGTCAGTAGCCGGCATTTTAACCACTGTGTCACCAGGCTCCTCCATAAGGATAATTAAACCATTGTTATCAAATTAATTCCAACTCATACTGACCCTGTAGAATTCCCACCCAAACCCCCTGCCATCAAGTCAATTCCAACTCATAACAATTCTACTGGGCAGAGTAGAACTGCTCCCTCAGCTTTCCAAGGCCATACATCTTCAGGGGAGCAGGCTGCCTCAACATTGGGCCATGTGGTATGGCTGGTAGGTGGGTTCGAACTGCTGACCTGTGGAAACCCTAAGGGGCAGTTCTACTGTGTTGTTTTGGGTCACTATGAATCGGAATTGACTCCACAGCAGTGAGCTTAGTTTGGGTTTGCATTTTTCTTTTTTGTTTTGATTTGGTAGGTGTGTTTTTTTGGGGGGCGGGTTTAGAAAACCCTAGATTTTGAACTAAGACTATTCTATCAAAGGAAGACATTTATCTTAGCCTTGCCACTTGATATTTAAATTATCTGAACATAAGCAAACTGCATTATTATTCTATTGGGGAATTATGTTGGCTATAATTAATACCAAAAAAGAAATTTAAAATCTGAATCTTAAATCACACACCTCCCCCAAGGAAAATAACTAACAGAGTTTTCCACACAAGTCATCCATTGAATAAAACATTGTTTAATTCCTGAAAATCACCAGCAGGTATATTCTAGCTTATGGATTGTCGATCTCCACACAAACTAGCACCACTAGCAAAGTGAAAAATCATTACATAAGGAATGAAAAAGAAATCAATAGAAACAAACAGTAGCAATGAGTGTGCTGGCCCCCAGAAGAGAGCCTCTATATACAATTTCCACACAAAAAAGGAGAATCTTGGAAAAAACGGTTGCTTTCTAGGCTCTATCAGGAATGTACAAGATGAGCCATGAGCATCTCTTCACACCAGAAAATAAGCAAAAATCAAAGCTTACCAGGAAAGTACCAAAAGGTCTCAGGAGTCGGTTTGAAGGGCTTCCAGCTAGCTAAAGATGACATGATTTGAAAACGGAAATAATAATAATAATTACTACAGATTGAAACCCATCACATATGTTCAAATTCATTTCCTTCCTGATAACAAGCAATGTTCAGCATATCTTGTACTATTAATAACGCTACAATTTCCCTCATCTGAGAATGATCCTTGTTTTCCTATAGAGTAGTCTTTTTTCTCATTCAGTTGTAGAAATGCGGGCTACATTTTATTAATCCTTTGCTTGTTACAGATGTGATAAATATCATCTCCTTGGCTGCTGCTTGTCTTTTCAAATTTATTCAGGCTAAGGTCGTTTCTCAAATCGCCAGTCATGAAGTTAATTAGAATCGCCTGGGGAACGTTTCAACAGCACCATTACATGGGCAGGTCCCGCTTTCAGAGATTCTGATTGTATTTGCCTGGGTGGGACTCCAGTACTGACATCTATGATCTTTGGTCAGTTCCTCAGGAGATAGGATATCAAAGTTGAGAACCTTGACTTTGGTGTGCTACAACTGCTGTTGTTCCGTGTCCTTGAGGATCCATTCCTATTCAGACTGACCCTACCTGCCCATCCTCACCACCATTGCTACCTTTGAGCCCATTGTTGCAGCCCCTGTGTCAATTCAGCTCATTTGAGATGGCAGCTAGAACTATTTTACAGTAGAATAGAAAATGGAGTTCCTCCCAAGTAGTCAAGCTGCTAAAGTTGCTTTACTTCACAGGGATGGAGACCTGAGACAGACAATGAAGGCAGGTCACTTGCTGAAAATTAGCCGAGGGGGTAATCGATCTTTGTCTTATGGAACACTGCCTCCTCAAAGCAGCTTCAAACTTAACAAAGGAGATGGATGGGCTTAACGCCTTTGGAGCCTTCGTTTAATGAGATGGCACTATGCAGAATTCAAGGAAGCCACTACAAGCATCCATCAGTTAATTGGAACACAAATCAAGGAAAATGGGAAGTTGTCAAAAATGAAATACAGTGCCTGGATATCCTAAACATTAGTGAGCTGAAATGGACTGGTGTGGACCATATTGAGTCCAAAATCCTTTGGTCTACTATGCCAAGAACAACATATTGAAGCTAAATAGTTCATCATTTCAAAGAACATTCGGAGATTTATCCTGAAATCTA